CAGCTCAGAGAGATTTCCCCACCTGAATCCAAGGTTGGATTTCTTCTCCCTCCCCCACGCCGCCCTCCTGCTAGTGGAAAACCCAGCCCCCACCCTTCAGCCGACATCAGGGCTGGATCTCGCTAATGGGCTGGGAAATGGAAACCAAATGCTTCATGTGTCAGCATCAACCAACGGGCTGGGGGATCCTGGCGCGCTGTCCCATGCTCTAAGCCAGTGGGAGGGAGGGACATTTCTTGGGGAGGCCGGGAAGAGCACTCAAGGACTTCAGTTCTCAAGTTCATCCAGGCAGGGTGGCCCCACATAAGAAACTGGTCCCTGTTACCTCCCTCCCAGCTCTGCCAGGGGTACTGACACCCCTGTGGGACCCTTCAAGAGCCTTCCTACTATCTCAATGGTGGGAGAGTCCAGGTGCAAACACGAAACCGTTTTTATTTCCTTCTTTTTGACACCTAGGACAGGGCTCCGGGGGTCATGTGGGCAAGTGTTGTTTCTGTGGGATATGAAATTCCCCTTCCCAAAAGGGCACATCCTCTGTTCTCTGGTGCCAGACAGTTCCTCACAAATCCTGCAGCAGAGACATCTAGGGGCAAGGGACCCCTTATCCACAGGCAGGGAGGGGCATACATGCTCTGAGAACATCTTCTGCCCTCTCTCCGCACACCACACACATGTTCACACTCAGACACACACCATCAGCTGCATCCAGCCACGTACACACAGCACACAAATGGACGCCTACACACACCCAGACTCACACATCACACATCGCATGTCCCATAAGAGCCACACTCACTCGCGCTTCAGGTATCACCAGGCTCTAGTCACGCACACGCATGCACACACACGCACCCCACAAATACACATAAAGCACAAAGGCACCCCTCGGACTGTGCATGCAGCGACTTCCAAGCAGACCCTGCTTTCTTTGGCGGCCCATGAAAGAGAAGGGGCCTCCTACCCCCACTGCCAAGGGTTTGGCGCAAGGCTGGAGCATTGGGAAGGGGGGGACTGAACAAGATGCTTTAGAGAAAGAGATACTTTCGCTAAACTTGGCTTAGAGACCTAAAACTTAATCTTCAGGCCACACCACCCCCACCCCAACAGGCCTTGGCGTGGGCCCCAGAAGAAGGGGGATCTCTGTGAAGAGTGGCCGGGCCGAGGGAGCAGTCCTCAGCACCACTTTGTTCTTTATCTCCTGCTGCTGGCAGCGGCTGCGGTGTCTCCGGGAGACCAGATGACTGCAGGCTGCCGCTGCTGGGGCAGAGCTAGAGAGATGGGGTCACAGCCCCAGACCCAAGATGCACGCAGCACAGGTGCCAAGGAAGTCGGGGGCGATGACATCAGAAGCCTGGGGGCGCCTCTGGAACTTGGGCATAGGCTGAGGATACGAGACACAGCTAGGCAGGAGGGAGCCCCCTCAGGCTGCCGGTGACTTCCAGGAGGCAGGACCCCCACCCGCGAGAGAGCTCAGCATCCCCCCATACACGGCAGAGGTGTGGGAGGGAGGGGCGTTGGGGGATGGCCGAGAATCCAGACACCATGTGAGAATCCATGTGAATCCACGTGAGCACCAATTCTGAAGGGGACTGGCAGCGAGTGACCATGGCAAAGTCAACAGTGCCCCCAGCTCCCAACCCCACAGAATCAGAACCTCAGCACAACCCCCCAGCCAGAAATCTAGGCAGTCAGAGCTGTGGAATGTGCTGGAGAGTTTACCACCTTCCTCAGCTGCAGGGCAGTGTCCCTGCCCACTCCCCCGCCCATGAATAAATCAGATCCAGATGCAAACCCGATCTGCCTGATGCCCCAGGAAATACCCCAGCTCCAAACCCCAGCAGATCCCAGAAACAGCTTGGCCCAGCAGGCCTGTCCTTTGTTACTCCCTCCTTCCAGAAGTCACTGTTTGCCCACAGGAATCTGAGTACAGACAGCCTGGACTTTGAAGACAGGGAGTCCCCCAGGAAGAGGCTTCGAGGAAGAGGAGGGTGGACTGTCTGTCCTTCTGCAGTCCATTGGCAGACATGCAGACAGGTCTGGGGACCACACAGGGCCCACCTCCCAAAGTCTCTCCACCCCTGGGGCATCCCTGCGTCTAACTGTAAATAAATCAACCAAACACAATCATCTGAACATTTTTGGTTTTGTTCTGTTTTGTTAAAAAAAAAACAACAAAAAACAAAAGAAAAGACATCAGGGCCAACTGGTAGATCCCTCAGTCTCCTTCCAACCAGTCAAGCCAGAAAATGCCCAGGGGAGTAGGGAGGGTGGAGAGGGCAGTGGAGGGGAAGAAGACATGGGGAGGGAGGCAGAGAGCCACTGGAAGGAGGGCATCATTCTGGTGATGCCACAGCTGTGACCATACGTGGGGCAGGGCACAGGCCCCTAGGCGAGTCCCTCATCCCCCTGCCCGTGGGTCCCCTCCTCCGCCAGGCACATTCAGTCCACTCTTGCATTCTTTCTTCCCATCCTGACTGCTCCAAGAAACAGGCCCACCTCTCTAGCCCTCTGTCCCCAGGGCCCTCCTCTCACCCTCTCCCTCCCCTACAGCTGACACGCAACCAAGCAGGTGGCACAACACCCAGACCCCAAGGTGGGCTGGTCTCTGCAGGCCCTTCCCCACAGGGGAACTGGGGAAGAGAGAAAGAGAAGCCCAGCGAGCGCTGGCTTTGGGAACAGGCCAGGGTCTCGTGACAATTGAGCCATCTGCTACCCTTGCTGCCCCCCTCCCCCAGGCTGACTCTCTAGATCAAGGGGAAGGTCAGTGATCAAGGAACAGGTCTCTCTTCTCCTCTGACTCTGGGAATGAGATTCTTCTTCTCCCACAAGCTTGAGCTCACCTTATAGGAGTGTCCCACATGCCAAGGTCAGAGAAAGTCAGAATAAGAGCTCCCAAGGCTGAAAACTAGAGCTGGCACAGAGTATGTGGTCAGTAAATGTTTTTAGATGGCTGGATGGATGGATGGATGGATGGATGGATGGATGGATGCATGAATGAATGAATTAGAGTGAATGCATTCAGGATCGATTTGAAAACACACAAGGGCTCCCCAGTGCCACTCTCAGACCACTTGGACTATCTAAGCCCAAAGAGAACACCCCAGGCTCTGGCTCACCCTAAGGGCACATCCATGCCCATAAACATACACACACACACACACATACGCACACACCCCAAGGGTTCTGGACCAGGATTCAGACCCAAACTCCACTCCAGGTCAGCTCTGAAACCTCCAGAGCACAGGGTAGCAGGGGGACTGAACCCCCTGCCCGCCGACCGGGTCACTCTCTGAAGCTGTCGGCCAGTTGGTGGCAGTCCAGCTCCCCCTTCGGTTCTAGGCCCCCTGGAAGCTTCACCCCAGTCTTCCGGTCCACACACCAGCACTTGCCACGCTGCCCATCCAGGGCCGGGTGACACTGCCAAGAGAAAGGCGTGATGGGTCAGTTCCCAGGCAGGATAAGAGATCCCAGGCGGCCCACCCCAGCTCCAGCCCAGCCTCCAAGTCAGACAGTTGCTGCTCCAAGGTGGACTCTCAGAGCCAAGGCTCTTCTTTGAGCAGGAGTCCTCAGAGCTCACTGGAGCAGGCCGAACTTGGCCAAGCGGGAAAGGCCCAGGGAGTTTCGGAAGGCAGGGCCCCAGTGAGACGGCCCTGGGATTCCAAAGAAGCACAGGGGCTGTGAAAGGCCGAGCTCGGGTTGGGGTCGCTTCAGAGCGAGTTCCGACTGGGTCGGGGCTTCAGGAATGGGATTACGGTTAAGAGCAGGATCCAAGCAGGGATTAAGGTAAGGTCAGGATAAGAGTTGCAGTTGGATTCGGAACGATGACTGAAACTTGAGTTGGATGAGGGTTGGAGCCCAGGTCAGGAACAGAATCAGGATAAAGATCAAACTCCAGGTCAGCACAACTAAGTCAGGCCGAAGTCTGGGTCAGAATTAGGTAGTGCGGGTTTGGGGAACAAAAGCCTATTTCAGAGTCAGAATTGCAGCCAGAGTGAAGGTTGACTCAGGGGTCAGGATTGTTCTGGGAATAAAGGGCCAAGTGTGAGAACCTCCACCGAGATAAAAATTGGGAGAAGAAAACAAAATTATTCAACACAAAAAGTGAACCCCGTATAAACTATTAGACTCCAGTTAATAATAATGTACTAGTATTGGTTCATTAGTTATAACAAATGTCCCACACTAACGTAAGATATTAACAATAGAGGAAATTGGGGCAGGGAACCAATTAGGAAAACTCTGTACTCCCTGCTCAGTTTCTCTGTAAACCTAAAACTGCTCTGAAAAACAAAGCCTATTAATTGTTTTTAAATTAGGAGACTGTGTGTGGTGGCTCATGCCTATAATCCCAGCACTTTGAGAGGCTGAGGTGGGAGGATTGCTTGAGTCCAGGAGTTCAAGACCAGACGGGGCAACATAGTGAGACCTCATCTCTACCAAAAAAAAAAAAAAAAAATCAAAAAAATTAACCAAGTGTGGTGGTGCATGCCTATAATCCCATCTGAGATGGAAGTATCTCCTGAATCCAGGAGGCCGAGGCTGTGGTGAGCCGTGATTGTGTCACTGCACTCCAGCCTGGGCAACATAGAGAGGCCCTGACTCAATACGTAAATAAATAAACAAATAGGAGAAAGAGTTTTAAAAATTGGGCCAAGAATAACACTGTGTTAAGATAAAGGCTAGAGACAGGCTGGGCACTGGTTCTGGGGAGCCCTCTCTGGCCCTCTCTGCCCATACTCTGCTCATGCCATCCTGGGGTGTGCAGACATGGGGGCCGGCTCTGTCCGCTGACCAAGTGGCAACTCACATTGTGGATTTGTCTACAGCACACAGAGTGGGAGAATGGATGTGTCTACACCCTTAAAGGGCCAGAAAAGGAGATTGAGGCCAAGGTTCCCCAGGCCACACCAGGCACGAGGTGCCTGAGCCTGCCCAGACCTGCCACCCTTCTGATGGGCCATAGATGGGCTGAGCAGGCCAACCCTTCTGAACGTCCCAGGCTCCAAGGGGAAGGGAATATGGAGGTTTCAGTCTCTGTGTCTTCTCTGCCTTCCCCTCTTCTTCCTCTGTTTCCACCCAGAGTGCCTGTCTCCAGCCCTTGGATCTGGCTCCGCCTCCTTCCTTGCTGTATCCCAGGTGGTTTTGCTGCCCAGCATGTAGGGAGGTGTGGGCTGAGGCTCCTTCCCAACTCCTTACGGGCCTTTATTCCCAGATGAAACCTCAGACGTTGGGTGACAGGAAGAACTTCTCATGGGCATAGAGCAGGGTAAGTAAGAGAGGGCTGGGAGCCAGAGGGTTGCAGAGGTGCCAGGTGTACCCCACAGATGGTGAACCCAGAGCTGAGAGAAACCCCGGGGTAGGGAGGCAGTGTCGACCACTGACTCATTCTGCGACTTTGGGCCAGCCTGGGCCCTTTGACTCTTTTCTGGGTCTCAGTCGCCCCATCGCTGAAATGAGTGAGGTTCTGAGGCTGAGTAGGGTTGAGTGAGGACCCAAGGGGTTAGGTTTGGTTGGGGAGTTTCCTCTTCCTGAAGTCCCATCCTGGACCGTCCAGTAGAGAGGCCAGAAAAGCCCCAGAGCTGAGGCCAGGGCCGGAGGGTGGGAGATGAAGACCCACCTGCTTGGGGTGGAAGTTGCCATTGCGGTCGCAGTTGGGGATGGGGATGATATAGAGGTCCTCGTGGGTGCGGCTCTGAGAGGCGGCCAGTCGCTCCAGGGCCCGGTGCAGCTCGCTCTGGCAGGAGCCCTGGGGCTGGGAGATAGGAGGACAAATTTCTCAGCAGAAGGGAAAGAGGCAGAAGGGCTGGGCCTCAGTCAGAGCTCAGTGGGGGCTGAGGTCCCTGAAAGGAAGATCAAGGCCTGGGAGCTGGGCAGGACCCAGGGAGGCAGGGGACATGGAGGGGGGTTCTCAAGCCAAAGAGCTTCGTGAAGTGAGGGGATCTCATAGGGAACAGGGCTGTGGGAACCTACAGAGAAGGCCAGGGATGGGCGATTTCTAAACAGGAGAGAAAGATGAAATCATTCAGTTAACAATTTGCAAGACCCAGGCAGGAATTCATCAGAACCACCCACCAGAAAGGACATTAGACCGGGTGCAGTGGCTCACGCCTGTAATCCCAGCACTTTGGGAGGTTGAGGCAGGAGGACCGCTTAAGTCCAGGAGTTGAGACCAGCCTGGGCAACATAGCAAGTTCTATCTCTACAAAAAATCAAAAAATTAGCCAAGTGTGTTGGCACACGCTGGTAGTCCCAGTTACTCAGGAGGCTGAGGCAAAAGTATTGCCTGAGCCCAGGAGGTCGAGGCTACAGTGAGCCATGATTGTGCCCTTGCTCTCCAGCCTGGCCAACAGAGTGAGACCCCCACTAAATAAAAAAGGACGGCTGGGCTCGGTGGCTCAGCCTGTAATCCCGCGCCTTGGGAGGCTGAGGTGAGTGAATTGCCTGAGCCTGTGGGTTCGAGACCCGCCCCGCCTGGGCTACTTAGGCGAGACCTCATCTCTACAATAAAAATCAAAAAAATTAGCCGGGCGTGGTAGCGCACGCCTGTAGTTCCAGCTACTTGGAAGGCTGAGGGGGAAGGATTACCAGAGCCCAGCAGGTCAAGGATGCCGTGGCCGGGAGCGGCCACTGCACTCCAGTCTGGGTGACAGAGTGAGACTCCAACTCAAAAAAAAAATAAAAATAAAAAATAAAAAAGGACATTAGCCAGACCCTGGAGCAGGGGCCCCAAGGTCCCCTGCCATGGCTAGCATTAACCCTTTAGTTACTAAGAAAGTCTGGCGTGGGGAATCCAAGAAAGGCCAAGAAACCCCAAGGAGAGGAAGAAGGACTCTCTCTGGGTCCTGATGACACTTCTAGGTGCATCTTGCACACAGTAGGCGTCCAAAGAATGTTTACTGAATGAACACGGTCCACATCTGGTGGTGGTGGTATGTGTGTGTGCACACGCATGTGTGTGTGTCCATGCACATGCACATCTGTGGGCCAGAGGTCCTCACCACAGGCCGGGCATCCTCCCGGGGTGTCCCGATGACCTTCATCTTGCCTCCACTGATGCTCCGGTCTCGCATCTTGGCATAGTGCTTCTGCATGCACCTGCGGTCATGGGCACTGCAGGGGCTGAAGCTGTTGTTGGGGTGGTCACCCTCATCCTTGTCTGTGGTCGGGCCAAGATGGGGAGAGGTGAGCACCGGGAAAGGACAGAACATCACACTAGTCCAGCTCTCCCCGCCGTGCCCTCCCCCTTCCTCCTCCTCCTTCCGGGGAACTCTCCCACCTGGCACTGGAGAAGAGATCAAGGGGCAGGGGGGCGGGCAGAAACAAAAGCAGCCCCTCATCTCCTCCTCGCCCCCTGGGTCCCCTCATGAGAATATTCCTCTTGAAGTCCTTGACTTGTCCCTCACCCCACCCAGGCCAGCTCTCAGATGAGTCACCAGCTGCGGCTGCCCAGATGGCAGGAGGATCCCCTGGGCCCTGCGGGGAGGTCTGAGGCGGGTAAGAGGGCGGGGCCTACCAGATCCTGTCCTCCCTCCATTCAGCTCCTCCCACCATCCCCCTCTCCGTCTGCTTGCTCTTCCTGTCTCCTTTCCTGCTCTTTTCAGCATCTGGCTGAGCCAGCCAGGGGGTCCCTTGGGCTGTTGACTCTGCTGACCCTCTTCCAAATGGTCAGAATCAGAGTTTCCATGAGTGATGAGAAAGCTGGCCCAGAAGGCTGTCCCCATTGGCTGGGTGGGAGACAAAAAGCGGGAGTTAGTGTGTATGCCTGCATGAGAGAGAGAGAGAGAGAGAGAGAGAGAGAGAGAGAGAGAGAGTGTGTGTGTGTGTGTGTGTGTGTGTGTGTGTGTGTGTGTGTGCAAAACACACCCTGTGTGGCCCCAGGACCAAGAGAACAGTCTCACACATTCCTCAGTCCCCCACCTGAAGTCTTCCATCCTTAGGCTACAGACCCCATCCAGAGTCCATGTGTGTTGCCCAGACCAGGGCACTGGACCCCTAAAGATGGAAGTGGTGAGGCCGGAACTTTCCCTCTGTGGGACCTCCCAAGGGATCTATCTGAGCTCAAGAAAAACCCTAACCTAGGCTGAGCACAATGGCTCATGCTTGTAATCTCAGCACTTTGGGAGGCTGAGGCAGGAGGATCCCTTGGGTCCAGAAGTTCAAGGCTGCAGTGAGCTATGATCGTGCCACTACATTCCAACCTGGGTGACAGAGTGAAACCCTGTCTCCGAAAAAAATGAAGGAAAAGAAAAACCCCATCCACAAGTCCCAGAATTATAACCACTACTCTTCCTTCCAAGCAGTCAAAACTGGAATACAGGGCTGAGCTGGAGAAAGAGGCTGGAAGACTTCTCTGCAGACCAGAACCACCTCCAGAATGCTCGGGCTTGGCAGCGTGCGGCAGGCCTGAGTGCAAAGCTCCTGCCAGCATTCCAGATGTTGGCAGCCAGACAGGAGGTTGCATCTGGTTTGCGTCAGGGTTTTTTTTTTCCTGAGGAGTTAGCAGGTTCCTCCATGCATGGCAGCAGTCCCAGAGCTGTCTCTGGGTCAAATGGTATTTTTCTGCCTAGCCAAAGCTGGGGGTTGGTTCTCTTTTCATTCTCCTCGCTGGGGGGATGTGGAGGGAAGTATGTAGATGAAAGAAACCAGGCAAGGAGGAATCTAGACCCACAGAAAGGCATCGTCAACATTCTGCACCAAACGTTATTAATAAAATTCACCAAGGATGGAAGAAGAGTTTGTCCTGGGTGGAGGGCTGGCTTAGAAAGAAGAATCAAAGGGAAGGAATAAACAGAACAGACAGATAGACTCCATCCTTTTGCACATTTAACATCCCAAGAAGGGCAGTCCAGAGAAGACTCCAGTCCCACACCAGGCTCCCGAGAGTCAACCAAAGAGAAGACATTATATATAGCAAGATCTCCCAGCCAGTGTAGGCATCAAAAGAAGAGGCAGATAGGCCAGGTACGGTGGCACATGCCTGTAATCCCAACACTTTGGGAGGCAGAGACTGGAGAATTGCTTAAGCCCAGGAGTTCGAGACCAGACTGGGGCAACATAGTGAGACCTTGTTTCTACAAAAAATTAAAAATTAACCAGGCATGGTGGCACACACCTGTAGTCCCAGCTACTCAGGAGGCCGAGGCAGAAAGATCGCCTGAGCCCAGGAGGTCAAGGCTGTAGTGAGCCATGCTTGTGCCACTGCATTCCAGCCTGGGTGACAGACTGAGACCTTGACTCAAAAGAAGAAGAAGAAGAAGAAAAATTTCAAGAGACCAGGATTGTACCAAGAGGATCATAAGTTGGACTCTTCACTTAGAAACCAGATAAAGATCTGGCATCAGGCCCGTCCTTGGAGACACTCCCAAGGAACCTATCTGGTCAAAGAGACACAGGCTGGTCAGTGATCCCTCCCTGGTCAAAGAGACCCAGGCTGGTCAGTGACTCTTCCCTTCCTGTCCCCACATTGCACAAAGCCATGAGGCTTATGAATGGAGTCACAGGGTTTCAGGAGTATAGGCTGGAGCTGGGGAGTGGATAGAAAGAGGAAATGGAAGACCTAAAAGAATTAGAACCAAATATGAGATGGACAAAGACTGAGCTGAGATGCAAACAAAGACCCCACCATTTTATCTGGGTAAGGCTGGAGGGACTCACTGAGACTTGTTTGCCACAGTCCAGGACACTAACTAGAGGACACCCTTCCAATCTGGAAAGGCTTTGTGTTTCCTGAGTTCACTTTCTTTCAATGACGATAAAGGAACGGACTCTTGTTTTGGTAAATGGGCAGGATGTTCTTAGGTTCAAGGAGTTCAAGGAGCAAGGAAGAGTCTTCTGAAGAAAGGGGCTGCCTCTGGAGGTAGTGAGCTCCCCCACCCTGGAGGTATACAGCATTAGAGTGGGGTAGTGGCCTCAACTGTCTAGAGAGTCATGGAGTAGAAGCTTGACTATAACCATGCTGTTCAGCATTGAGTCTCTGTGAGTTGAAGTTCATATACAAATAACCCTCAGGGAGATCAGCCTGGGCAATATAGTGAGACCTTGTTTCTATAAAAAATTAAAAATTAACTGGGCATGGTGGCACATGCCTGTAGTCCCAGTTACTCAGGAGGCTGAGGCAGAAAGATCGCCTGAGCCCAGGAGGTCGAGGCTGCAGTGAGCCATGCTTGTGCCACCGCATTCCAGCCTGTGTGATAGACTGAGAGCTTGACTCAAAAAAAGAAAAAAAAAAGAAGAAGAAGAAAAATTTCAGGAGACCAGGTGTGTTTGGGAGGTAGATTTGCGATTCCCCAGTCCCAGTCTCTGTGTGTGTGTGTGTGTGTGTGTGTGTGTGTGTGTGTGTGTGTGTGTAGATATGGATTTGCTCTCTGTGTCTGTGTCCCCATGACAGCAGGCAAGGAGCTCCATTAAGGAGGACCTTTGGATAGCTCATTGAAACCAAGGGTTGCATGGACGTAGGGTGAGCCCTGAGGCATGTTTGTGTGTTGGTGGGGCCTCTTGTCACACAGAGGTGTTACCTGGGAAAAGCTTAGCTGGCAGCCATCTTTGCCCCCCCTTGTTGGCTTCTCCACGGAGTTCACTTTCTTTCAATGACAATACTTATCCCTAGTTCATGTCTACACTTAGAGGTGAACCCACCAGACAGGGGGAGTAGCTCCTTGCCTGCTCTCGTAGGGACACAGACACAGAGAGCAAATCCATATCTATACACACACACACACACACACACACACACACACACACACACACACA